GACCCCTGCCCTGATCCTTCCAGGAGGTGTTCAATAAAAGGGATGAGGGAACATGTGGATAGGAGGGAGACCTGAGGCAGTCCCTTCCTCTTGCACAGGTTTGACCTGCAGACATTGCCTGTGGACTTCGTGGAGTGCCTGATGCGCTTCCTGCCCACAGAGGCGGAGGTGAAACTGCTGCGGCAGTATGAGCGGGAGCGGCAGCCCCTGGAGGAGCTGGCAGCCGAGGACCGCTTCATGCTGCTTTTCAGCAAGGTGGAGCGGCTGACCCAGCGAATGGCTGGCATGGCCTTCCTGGGCAACTTCCAGGACAACCTGCAGATGCTCACTCCGGTACAGCTCAGCCCAACTCATGGTGCTACCCCTCCACCTTCCACCCGCTAGCCATTCCCCTGCCCAGCCAGTCTTTCCCACCCCTCTCTGACTTCACCCAGCCTGGGGTTACTCAAGTGTTTATCTCACCTTCCAGCAACTCAATGCCATCATTGCAGCCTCCGCCTCCGTCAAGTCCTCACAGAAGCTGAAGCAGATGTTGGAGGTGGGGAGACATTGTAAACGGGGGTGCTAATGGTTCCCAGGTCCTAGGTGGGGGCCTGGGGCTATATGGAGAGGAAGGAGGAGCTCTTGGGGCTTGGGCCTGACCTGCTCCCATGCATCTCTTGGACAGATCATCCTTGCGCTGGGGAATTACATGAACAGCAGTAAGCGGGGAGCTGTGTATGGCTTCAAGCTCCAGAGCCTGGATCTGGTGAGACGGTGGGGGCAGCACAGGCAGGCAGCCTGGGGGCAGCAGTGGCAGAGCCAGAGTGCTTAGTCCTCCCGCTCTGTCCTCACTCCTTTCCCAGCTGTTGGATACCAAGTCCACTGACCGGAAGATGACGCTGCTGCACTTTATCGCCTTGACGGTGAAGGAGAAATACCCAGACCTGGCTAACTTTTGGCACGAGCTGCACTTTGTGGAGAAGGCTGCGGCAGGTGAGGGGAGCCTGCCCGAGTGGGTCTGCCTTTCACATCTAGCCCAGGACAACCCCAGGAAGCTGTGAGGAGAGGGAACGCTTGGGTCCATTTGTTTCTGCCTTTTGTTATCTTCTGAGTACTTCAAAGCTTTCCGCTGGAGCCATGAGCAGGGGCTGCTCAGAGGGAGCCTTCCTCCAGGCCCAGCCCAGCCCTTCCCAGTGAGGTGCAATGGGAGCAGGAACAGGAAGGGGAGTCGGGGGAGTGGCTCTTTACTCCCAACTCCCTCAACCTGGCCCTGGAGACTGTTTCTCTATAATGTGAAGTGCTTCAAAAAACCATAAAGGTCTCCATGACATAAGGTAGCTGTTATTTCTGCCCCACCCACAAAAACTGTAGCAGGCCGGAGGCAGCTCCATTTTAGAGAGCAGCAGCCTCCATGGGTCACGCGCTCACAGGCTGTTCCTTTCCCCTGTAAGGGCGCAGCTGGCTTGGTGTGCACTTCTCTGTCCATATGGGTGTGAGAACCTGAGTGAGCCCATGCTGGTGGGGAGGGTAGAGTTTCCTAGAGCCCTGGGCTGGAAGGTGGGCATCACAGGCCCTGGGTGGACATCAGCCAGGCCTCTCATGACCACAGTGTCCCTGGAGAATGTGTTGCTGGATGTGAAGGAGCTGGGCCGGGGCATGGAGCTGATTCGGCGGGAGTGCAGCATTCACGACAACAGTGTCCTGCGGAACTTCCTCAGCACCAACGAAGGCAAACTGGACAAGCTCCAGCGAGACGCCAAGACAGCTGAGGTGAGCGTGGGGTGCAGGCGGGTGGGAGCAACCAGGGCCAAAGTGCCAGGCCCCTGCAGGTGGGCCTGGTTCTGGTTCATCATCAAGCAGCTGGTGGGCTGGCTGTGAGGTGAGAGAGGGCTTGGGGGTGACAGGCAGCTGCCTCTGGAAACGTTAGTGGCCCCAGGTCCTCTCCAGCTCATGGGCTTGGGTAATTTTGCTCTTCCTCCTCTGGCCCTGGGCTCTACTTTCCGCAGGCCTCTTGTCCCTGGTCCAGGAGCTGGGCTTCTTCCTGCCAGGTGACCTCTTCTGCCCACCCCTTCCCCAGGAAGCCTACAATGCAGTCGTGCGCTACTTTGGCGAGAGTCCCAAGACCACGCCACCTTCTGTGTTCTTCCCAGTGTTTGTCCGCTTCATTCGTTCTTACAAGGTAAGGTGAAGCATTTAAAGAGAAGTTTGGCTCGGAGAAAACTGGTTGTGGGGGAGAAGCCTGGGCTTCAAGTCTGGGCCTTTTCTGACTATTCCTCTGAGTACGGGGAGGGAGCAGTGGAAGCTGCGGCAGACCTTTTAACTGTGAACCAGTGGGTAGGGTGGGGGCCTGGGCCCTTCCTGTCATTGTTTGGGGCAGGAAGTACCCCTCCAGAGGGTGGACACCTGGGGTTGCTGGTCCTACTGCCACCCACTCTCCACCCTCAGAGTTAGCCCCTCCCCTCACAGCCTATGTGAGCTTCACCCCCCACCCACCTTCCATGGCTCTTAGGAAGCAGAACAAGAGAATGAAGCCCGCAAGAAGCAGGAGGAGGTAATGCGGGAGAAGCAGCTGGCTCAGGAAGCCAAGAAACTGGATGCTAAGGTGGGTGGGGCCAAGAATTGATGTCTGGAGGAAAACAGGGCAAAGGATTGGGGAACAGAGCTAGAGATGAGAAACTGGAATAGACAGACCACCCAAAGGCCTGAGGACTAGGGTCCAGCGGGCTGGAGAGGGGCTTTAGGAAGGTGATTCCTAGCAGTGCACATCCAGGGGTGTCCTTGGACAGCATCATGTGGCAGGAACCGGCCTCATGTTAGATCAGTGACTTCCTTCCCTCTCCAAATCCTAGACCCCATCCCAGCGGAACAAGTGGCAACAGCAAGAGCTAATTGCAGAGTTGAGGCGGCGCCAGGCCAAGGAGCACCGGCCTGTTTATGAGGGGAAGGATGGTACCATTGAGGACATCATTACAGGTGAGCCCCTTTTCCCTCCCTGGGATCTGGCAATTGGACCCAGCTTGCAAAGCTCAACCCAACCCCTTTGGGCCCTCTTCCTCCACGTCTTCCATGAGGCCTGACCACTGTGTCTCTCTCCTGGGCCACAGTGTTGAAGAGTGTCCCTTTCACGGCCCGTACTGCCAAGCGGGGCTCACGCTTCTTCTGTGATGCAGCCCACCATGATGAGTCAAACTGTTAACCCCCAAGGCTGGGGCCCCTGACAGGTACCGGGCACCACAGCTGCCCCCTCTGCATGGCCACCCTCCAGGACTCCTGCTGGAGCCCACAGGCACCTCCTCCTTTGCATGACTTACAGCCTCCCAGTGATGGGGACACATTCTCCTCCTTGCATGCCCCATGCTGAGAAGAGTGGCTTATCCCTGCATGTAGTGGTCTCTCTCCCACTAACGCTGTCCTGGCTTCTACTAAGACTCAAGGGGTAACGAGTCGCCAGGCCAGGGTTGAGAGCTACGCCAGAGCAGGACCAGCCTACGGTTCTGATCGTTGAGGCTGAAGCTCAATTCCTGGGCCCAGAGGATCCTTTGTCTTAGGCTTCCCTCCTCACAAGAGCTGACAGCAGCTTCTGCCAGGGGCAGGCAGATGGCCCTTGATCTGTTTCCTGACATCCAGGCAGCCTGGGGTCTTTTCCCAGCTTCTGGCTCTTGCTGAGTCTATTGTGGCCTCTGGTCACCCCTCCGTGATCCTCTGAAACTGCAGAGCCCAGCAATCTCCTTAACTACCCCTCAAGCCTGCCCTACTAAGACTACCCCCTAAGCTTATCTACCTCCCAGCAGGCTCCTCCTGGGCCTTGCCTGTGGGGTTGCTCCCAAAGGCACTGTCCTGGCTCAGCCTCCCTTCCCGTTCACAGGCCTCCACCGCCAGCCCATTGCCGTTCGCCACCAAGCCAGGAGTGCTGCACCTCAGAGCCCCCCTCGGGCTCCAGGGCCCCACTGAGCCGCGCTTCACTTCAACCAGTGGACTTGGAGCCTCAGAATCAGCCAGGGGCCCAGCAGAGGGCGATGCTGCTGTCAGTCATTTTTACCCCAGCTCTTCAGGCTGGATCTTACCTATGCCACTGTGGGCACTAGGTCTGTAGGGGCCTGGCAACATCCTTGGTGCTTCCAGTACTGCACTTTGCCCCAAAGGTCTTCAACTTTATTTCCTGAAGGGTTACCAAGAGTCAGCTCTGGGGCTGGGAAAAACCATTTCCAGCTTTAGCCTATACAGGGGCACCACTAGAGGGATGAGAGCAGAGAGTGACTATCCCTTTGTTTCCTGCCTTTTTGCTGGCCCATGGTCAGCTCTGGTCTAGAAGTATCCAGGCTTAAAGGGAACCCTGGGACCACACCATTCTGAGATCATCTCTTAGGAGCAAGGCCCTGCTAAGCCTAGGCCCTGCCCAGCTGTGCCCAGTGATAAGGGTAGAGGAGAGATGCCAGGCTTGCTGCCCTTACCCCATGGCTGTTGGCCCATTTCATTCCAGGCTGACACTGTCCTTGCCAAGGTGGGCAGAAAAGCAGAGGTTTTCTCTGCAGACAGCTAGAGAATGGATATGCCAACATCCTCACCTTTCCTCAGCTAGGTTTTTTTTTTTGCAGAGGGCACAGTGGTCTTGGGTATTTGCTCAGTTTCCTGCCAGTGTCCTCTCAGCCCCTAGAAGGGAATGTGGGGGCCCACTTCCTTTTGTACATGTATCACCTTCCTTCTCTCTTGTACATAAACCCCAGACCTTCCCTCTCTCAACAAAGGCTTAAAGCACCAGGCCTGACTGTCTCCTCTTTCTGAGCTTGGGGGATAGGGTGGCCATTCAGTCTGAGTATGGGGCTAGGACACCTGGGGGGAACTATATCTGTTTCAGGGGAGATGAGCTCAGAAGCCTGGGAGAACCAGGCTGGGTGGGCTCCAGCCACACAAAGGGAGGCAGGTCTGCGTGAGATACTAGTGCCCTCTGCTGGACATGAACGCCTGTCCAGTCCCCAGCCTGTCCTAGTAGCACATGGAGGAGACAAAAGAGTCACTGACCATGTTATAAATATCATTATTTAAAAAACAAAAACAAAACAAAACACACATATACTGGGTCCTGGGCAGGAGGAACAAGTGGTGGAGTGCCATGGCCAGGGCGGGCAGGAGCAGGCACTGATGCTAGAGGGTGAGGACTCTGCCTTCTGCCACCCAGGCTGTGTCCACCAGCCCATCACTCTTCCCTGGATACCCCTTCTCTCACACTTTATCTACTGGCATCACCCACCTCGAGTGGCATGTACCACCCATCTCTGGTCTAGGGCTGAGGGCTGTCCCCTGGGGCACACTAGCTGTCCGGGGAGGAGGGAACCCTTGAACACCAGGGGCAACCTGGAGAGGTGCCAACGGTGGTGTGCTGGGGGTGGGGCTACTGTGGGAAAAGTGAACACAGACCAGACTAAGGAAGAAGTCTGAGGCAGACGGCGAGGGTGGCCCAGGAGCCACAGGCGCACGCAGACCCAAGGCAGGCAGCAGTTTGTCGGTCACTGGTGATCATCCAGCTGCTGCAAGAGTGTGCGTCGCCGCCTCTCCAGCTCACCCTCGCTCAGCTCGCTTTCCGACGTGTCCCAGCCCGTCTGTTAGAGCAAAAACACAGCTTACCCTAAGCCCCACTGAGGGCCATAGAGGCCTGGAGAGTGGGGGGCTGGGACCCCCGCCTCTCACCTTCTCCTTCTTGATGCCAAAGCCTGGGGAACGATTAGGGAGATCTGTCTGCCGGAGCTCCCTGTCCTTGTCCTGTTCCTGTTCCTTCTCATCACTGTCCTTGCCAGCTTTCTCCTCAGGGTCTGTTTCACTCTCAGGGCTGTTCTGTAAGAGGCCAGAGCCCAACTCAGCTCCTGTGCAGGATAGTCCGGGGGCAGGTGGAATAGAGCTCATAGGACAGCAGGGCCTTAGGCAGAAATTCCTTCTCTACTCACCGACTTGTGTCTTCTCTTTTTAGTTTTCTTTTTTGGTTTCTTGGCTTTCCGAAGGCCATGATCTGGAGATAGAAAAAGCCCTACTAAGTCCCAAAAAGAGAAAGGAGGGCTCATCCTTTTCTCTGCTGTAGCCCCTCTGTTCATTCTTCACAGGTAGGGACCTCATGGTCTCAGGCAACAGTCTGAGGAAGTCTGAGTCACTCCAGTTTTCCTTCTCAGTTTCTTGCCTGGGCAGGGACAGGAAGTTCTTCCTACTCTCCCACAGTGTAGCCCTCCCAGTCCACTCTACCCTCAAGGGGGCTCGGACTTGCCAATGGCCTCCTCAGTCTGGGCCAACAGTTCTCCAGCTCCCGGGCTCCTAGCAACTGCTTACCTGATCCAAGGAGAAGGTGGGAGGAAGGGGAGCCCCGTCCTCCAAGGGCAGCACCCCCACTTTCAACCGAATCAAGTGAGGAAGAGGGCTCAGAGCCTGATTCCGAGGGGTTCCGCCTCCTCCGCTTGGGGGGCCGGAGAGACGGTGGGGGTAGCTCCTCCTCTTCCGACTCAGAGCCCTGGGCAGATCAGCATATACGTGTCAGCGCAGAGGTTCTCTGGCTTCCAGAAGCCCTCGTCTGGCAATTGGGGACAGAGAGGAGGATCCAGGGCCAAAGGAATCCTCAAATCTCCCTCCAAGGGAGGTGATGTAGGGGAAAAACAAGAAAACTGTTTCTTATTCCCCCAAAACAATCCAGCCTCCCCCCATATCCCCTGCCCGCTAACTCACTGAGGGTGAGTGGGAACGCTTGCGATGGTGCTTCTTGCCCTTCCTGCTGTGCTTTCGGCCTTTCGTGTGGAGGTGCTGGCATTCAGTCTGCTAGAGGCAGAGGGAGAAGGGAGAGGACAGCACCAGCCTTAGCCTTAGGAAGAATCCTGCCTCCTAAAACCTGACTTTGCCTCCTCTCTCCAGGTAGGGCCTTCTGCCCATCCCAGGGCTCCTCAGGCCTCCCCTCCCTTGGCCAGGGAAAGCAGAGCCCTAGGGGTGAGAGACCACTGAGGTCTCTGTTGAGCTGGCCTAGGGAGTTTAAAGACTTGGGACAAATCCAGAGGATGAGAAGTCTGCCTCACCTCCAGCACCTGGAGGAATTCCCGGAAGAGCCGGATCCGTTCCGACTCCAGGGTGATCTGCTCAAAGGCTGAGTCGCACACAAAGCGCTCACGGACCTTGAACGGGGAGAGCACTGCTGATCAGACCAGACCTCGTTTGGCCTGGCCTGGACACTGCCACGAGCACAGGGCAGGGCTGGGGCAGAGGAAAGAAGGGAACTGGAGCTGGCCCAGGGCTGTGCTGTGACTGGGGTGGGCTCTCAGAGGTGGAGAAGCACCGCTGCCCTCAGACTTGAGGGGTGTTTGGGGCCAGGCTGCGCTCCTGACCTCTTCCCAGGTAGTGCCTAGCTCCAGAGCAGGCACGGCCTGCCTCAGCATGCTTCGAAAGGCAGCCTCCCTGCGCCGCATCCTTCGTGCCTCCTCCTTCTCCCGCTCCCTCTCCCGTGCCTCTGCTTTCTCCAGCAGCTGAGGGTAGAAGGGACACAGAACAGGGTGAGCCAGGAGGGTGGGTGCCTGGGCCCCACTCAGGCATACCTTAGGAAGTGGAAAGCTGGGGTCTGGTCTCATCCCCTGAACTGGGACTAGAGTTGGGGGACGGTGAGCGAAAAAGAATGGAACAAGACACTGGGATGAGTTAGAGAACCGAGCCCCACGCCCTGCCCAGCCCCTCACACTATTGAAGGTCAGCTTGATGTTGCCTGCGTCCAGCGCAGCAGCCCTCTTGTCAAAGCTTATGACGTGGGCGAAGTCCTCAAAGGCTGTGTTCACCTCCACGCAGAAGCCCCGGTCCTGTGGGCACAGCAGTGCATGAAGCAGGGGGCACCACGGGCCTGAGGGCCAGAGCTGGCACGTAGAGGGGTCAGACTGCAGGATAGTCAAGAAGGCCCCCACCTCCAGAAGAGAACCATAGGACTGTGACACGCCTCAGAAACCAAGTTGTCCAAGTCTTCCTCATCTGACAATTAAACTCCCCATGCCTACCCTTGATTTGGATGTCATATGGAGCTAAAGGGCTTGGGAGGTGTCTCCCAACTGCTGACTGATGCCTGAATTTCTCACAATTAACTTTGTTCCTTTGGCTTAAAGCTCTGGGGCCAGCCGGGCCATCCTGCTGCTCAGCAGTGCTCCCGAGCTTTCTAGTTCACCATCTGCCTGGGCTTCCCCTGGGCTCTATCTACTGAGGCTTACTAGGTGCCAGGTACCATGAAGAGTGCTCACACAGTGCCTCATTTACTCCTCATGGTTCTGCAGGTAAGTATAGGTCCTAGTACCCTAATTTTATGCAGGAGAAACCACAGTTTAGAGAAACTAGGGCACTTATCCAAGGTTTCACAACTTACATACAGCTGCGCAAGAATTCTACCCCAGGTCTTTCTTCCCCCAAAGCCCATGCTTCCGAGCACCACGCTCACACAGACCCCTTAGTCCCTGAGAGAAATGGAGGCCACCAGGTGTGCAGCTCCCCACCAAGATGGAAAACACCTACGCGAGCCAGGCTCTGTGTTCTCATCTAAGCCTCACAACATCCCAGTGAAGTAGAGGCTCAGAAAAGTAATCTCACTTGGCCCAAAATGACATCAAGTGTTAAGTGGAGCCACTGGAGTTCAGAGTCTGGTTCTTGAGGGAGCTGGGCACAGGCCAGATTCCCTTCCTGTCCCCCCACACAGCTCTAATCTCTGGCCTCCTACTGATGGCAGATGCATGCTCTTGCATCTTTCCAGGAGTACTTCCTCAACCCACATACTCCAACCCTTCTCAAACACAGCATTCCCTCTCAGGGGAATGAAAGCTCAATCTCACCCTCTTCACTGGCTCCTTCCATCAGGCACTCACCTCACTTAACCTGGCACATTCCATCCACCCTGTTCTCACCTTCCTCAAGCTAACTACCTCTATTGCTTTTCCTTTGTTTCAAAATCTCTTGAAATGCAGCACAAAGGAAAAGAAATAAACGTTTATTGCAAGCCTATTATAAGCATGACACTTTACAGATGTTATTTAATTCTCACAATCTTACAGATTATCCCCAATTTTCAGATAAGGAAACTGAGGCTCAGAAAAATGTAACTTGTAGAGGTCTCAGAGCCAAGGAGCTATCTAACTCTAAGATGTGTCCTGCCCCCACGCCACCCCTTCACAACACTGCTCTCCCAGTGGCTGCTCATGTCCTAATGGTCAAATCCAAGGCTACCCCTTCTTGGTCGTCACGCATCTGATTCTCAGTGGTTGTTTACTTCACCACTCCCCTCTTCAGGTCCCTTCCTCTCTGGCCTATTTTACTTCTCTTGCATGTTCCTGAGAACAGCACTTAGCCCTTTCTCACTACTTGATCTATATACTCTCCCTAGAAATCACCTTCACCTCTCTCCTGATTTTCAGACCCACACTAGCCTGGATATTTCATAAACACTTCAGCAGATCCCAAGAGAATACATTTCTCATGAGAACACCCCCACCCCCCACCACCAAGCACCCCGTGGATCTCCCAGGCCCAGATATTCTGTCTTCTACCTGTTCCAAGTCCAAGGCTCTTTGCATTAACCTATAGGATGACAGGTGCCATCAGGTGGCTGTGGATGGCCACATGGACTCCTGGGCTTATGTGCCCTTGCCAGGCAGGAACCCAAATGGAAGATAAGAGAACTGTCTCAAAAAGCTGCTTTCTCAGGTGGTGTGGAGAGAAAGGACTCAGCGAGGACAGGCCTGTCAGCAGCACCTGCCACCCTGTGGTTAAAAGTTAATTGTCCAGTACAATTTAGCTATCCTGGTATTAAGTATTTCTGCTTTGTATGATTATTCTGTTTAAAATTTGCTATTTGCTTTGTTCCTCCCTGTTCTCGGTTGCTGCCGAGAATAATTCCCCAAATGGAATTCCTATTCTCCCCAGCCCTGCTCTTCCTACTTGTTCCTTACCAACAGTGTAATCATCTACTGCCCTGACATCTCCAACCCACTCCTGTCTTCCTCTCGATTTTACAAAGCAGTCTGTCAACTCTACTTTAGTGCTTCTATCCCACTGGTTTTAAACTTTCATGTTTTTATAACAGCATAAACATTTTATAAGAAGTCCTATGTAGAACCTTAAAGCATAAAAAAGATGCCAGCTGCTCCACTTGAAAATAGCGGAAGTATAAAATCCCCCACTCAACCCCCAGCCCTTGCTTGGCTCAAGGCATGTATGAGCAAACCTAGGGCATCTCAGCAGCACAGCTGAGTGCTACAGCTCTCTCCCCCCTCCATCTGCCATCCCTGCCTCAGATCACATCCCACCTGCATTCCTCCAATGTCCTCCTGACTGGTCTCCCTGCTCACGCACCCTCTTCCACACTTCTAACCCAGCATTTAGCATCTTGTGCTTCTCAGTGTTGTACCAAGTTGCCCTGACGGCAGGGCAGAGGTCTGGGGATGAATCAGAAGAAGATGACTCAAAGTCTGAGTTACCTGCCACTATTACTTTTAGTATCTTGAGGTTTCAAAAACTGTCCTACCAGCACTCTACCATCATCCCCCCCCCAAGAACCCAAGTACATACTCTACATTGAGAGGTGCCACTATACACCACCACTGGTGGCTTTTCCAAGACATCATCTGATCTTATCATTCCCCGGTTCCTCATTACTTACAAGATAAAAATCCAAATTTCTTATTTTAGCATTCAAGACACTTTACATGCAGGACTCTACTTCCAAACTGGGGCATGTGGTTTCAGAGAAATATAGGAAATCACAGGACAATATGATAGATCTTACATAATGATAAATAATTTAAAAATATGAAATTTATATTAAACAGAAAGGTAATACAGTATTAAAATGCAACACCTACATGAATTTGTAAGGCAAAACACAAGACTTAAATGTATGTGCAGTAAGACATTTCTAGCTTTATTCCCAGATCCATCTCAACCCAGATACTAGATTACTCTCCTCTATAATTAGGTGTACTTTGGTGGAACGCTCACCATTTTCAGACAAGGAAACAAAGGTTCAGAAAGGTTAAGTGACTTGTCTAAGGTCACACAATTAGCAAATGGTTAAGTTTTGACTTTTACTTCAGGCAGTCTGCTTCGAGTTCTGCTCCTAAACACTGTACTATACCATCTCCTCAGATGTATTAGAATGTTCTTCATTTCCATGAAGAAATATACTTTCTCCTTATTTTCTTATAGAGCCACAAGGCTCTCTAACTTCATCATTCACTCACTTTTTCACTTTTTTGAGACAGGGTTTTGCTCTGTTGCCCAGACTGAAGTGCAGTGGTATAATCATAGCTCACCGCAGCCTTAAAATTCCTGGGCTAAAGTGATCCTCCTGCCTCAGCCTCCCAGGTAGTTGCGACCACAAGTGTGTGCCACCACGCCTGGCTAATTTTTCAATTTTTTGTAGAGACAGGGTCTTACTATGTTGCTCAGGCTGGTCTTAAACTCCTGGCTTTAAGTGATCCTCCTGCCTCGGCCTCCCAAAGTGCTGGGATTACAAGCATGAGTCACCACACCCAGCTACCTTTCTACTTTTGATAGACGTGGATATTGAGAACTATTTCTGTTCTCTAGTATAAGAAACAGAACAGTGCATATGTGATGATAAATGATCTCATCCTACAATCACGCCTTTTGCTGCAGTATCAAGAAGGCACTAGGGAGTGGTGAGGATAAGGATGACTTGCCCTTTCTAAAAGAGCAGTGGCAACTCAGCTGGAATCCACAGAGTGCCTTGCAAATTCAGCCCGGTGTTGCTAAATAATTCAAATTGACAAGAGAAGCTAAAGATTCAGATTTTTATGTGAAATTTCCTGATTTTTATGTGAAATCTTCTGATTTTAAAATGTTAGCAACAAATTCCAAATATTTCTAAAACACTGTATAAGCCAAAAGGAACAATCTGTGGGCTGGCTACTAGTTTATAATTAGCTGTGCTTCTTGCTCCTCACACCTGGCATGCCCTTTCCATGCCCTTGCCTTTGCTCTTGTACTACCCTATACCCAGAACATTCCACCCACGTCCACCTGTTCATTCCTAAAGGTGCAGTTCAAATGTCAACTCTGATTCCTGTTTCTAATAACACCTGTCCCTCTGTATAATAGTTCTCATGCCTATCGTCCTATTAGGTCATGATCTCTTGTGAGAGATTGTGTCTTATTCATTACTGTATCCCTAGAGCACAGTAAAGGACTAGGTTCTGTTGAACCAAGCTATAATGCTCCTACAAAACAGGACTTCTCAGGGAGTCTTGTCTGGGGAGTGTGCCCTGCACCCAGCATGCATCCATTCATGACCCCATGCCTCCCTCACCTTAAGGATGTCCTTAATGATCTTCTTCTCATCATGGAATCGTGCCTTCAACTCCTCTACATAGAACTTGAACAAGTCCAGAGGGGTGGAGCCTGCAGGGAGGGAGGGAGGGGGGCCTGGCGGGCGGCAGCTTCCCAAGGCCTGGGGTTGGGGCCCAGGACAGGACCAGAGGGAAGGGGTGCAGAGAGGCTGGCAGGGCAGGAAGCCAGGCCAAAGAACGGGGAGCCTGGCTGCCTTACCCGGCTGGCCCAGCATGTTGGCAAAGCGGACATCAGTGCTGACCGCTGGGTAGAGCTCCATCCAGGTGGACATAGAGTGCAGCTGCCCTGTCTCATGCAGCTCGTCCAGGAAGGTCTGAGCAGGGAGAGGCCAGTTATAGAAAGAGTGAGATAGGGAGGGAAGCAGAGCCACAGAATGAGGAGAGGCAGGAACAATCCAGATTGAGGAAATGCAGGCAAGAGAGGCAGAAGCGAAGAGATACAGATAGGGAGGCTGAAAACAATACGAAAGGGAAGAATATAAATACAGAGGACAGAACAAAAAAATGAGAACAAGCCAGCCTGGGAGGCAAAGAAACAGAAACCTGCCTGCAGCAACTTCTTGACATGTTATAGCAAAGTAACCCCCACCACTGCCACCCTGGAGCTGGGACATAAGCTCTGCCTGTCTGGCTTCCCTCCCAAGGGAAATAAATAAGGCCTAACTGCCAAGTCATGCCTGTAGGGTGCCCTCTGCTGGTAGCTCCTGGGTGCTGCATACATCTAGTCTCCCTAGAAGAGCACAGTCCACAATTGAGGGGATATAGCAGGAGTAGACTGCAGGCAGAAAGGCCTTTTCTCCTCACAGAGCTTGGACAGCACTAGGCACAGACAAAACAGGCAGCCTAGCCGAGAGGAGGCAGGGAATGGATGAAGACATTGTGGTCTGGGGCAGAGCTGAGCTCTAACCAAAATGGCAGCAGAGATACCTGGAAGGCCTCCCTGTTCTTGCGTTGCTGGCGCCGCTCCCTAAGCCGAGCCCGCTCCCGCTCCTCCTCCTCCTCCCTCTCCAAAGCTCGGATGTGTTCCTCAAAGCAGATCAGGGCATCTTCCTTGTCCATGTCTAAAGGCAGGGAGGAGGTTCATCATACACCATACCAACAGGACACCCTCTCAGACTCCAGCACCCCTAGTGTTTAAATGATGCTGCCCCTATAGGTACTAGGGACACCCAGCATGGTGGGGAAAACTGGGGGGAGGGCTCTGTGGGAATAGCCACTCTGTGGGAATGGTGGTTCTTGAAGGGAGGATCATTAATTGTATAAGAAAAAAACTGGCAAGTATTCAGCTCTTGTGAACTCAGTTATTGGAGGCCATCACATGAAACCAGTTGTGTTGGGACCTGAGGTTTCACATCATATGGAACTGGGAATCAATCAGACTTTGATGCAACCTCAGAAGGTGAATTTATGATTATTGTCAGTGATTACAGACCAATAACATCTTATTGTAATACATGTGACCAGTTAAGGCCCATAGTGCTATGACGATTAGACCACATTCACATGAGCAATAAATAGCAACAGCAGCAGCAGCATCTCAAGGACTTCTGATTCCTATCCCAGGGCTCTTCCACCAAGGACACAAAATGTCCAGGTCAACAATGGACCCCACAGCGAGGGAGGAAGTGTCCTGAAGATGTCCTGGGATCCCCAGAATCCAGAGAGGTGCAGGGACTGAGTGCTGGGCACTCCTAGGATGTCTGAGAGGGCAGGAGGTGCAGAAGAGTGGTGTGAGGCAGACTCTGGGGTCCCAGGTTTAGTAGGAAAGGGGAAGGAATAGGCGGAAGTGGAGACCCAGGCTTACTCTGCAGCTGATGGTCCTGAGCAAAGCTGGGGTTATCCATGAGGTACTGCTGAGCCTGGGACCATGTGGTTTGGAAGGTGACACTACTCATTCCATCCAGGATGCTCTTCAGGGCCTGGATGTTGCGGCGCCGGAGCTGCTTGGCCTGTTCCTGGGAGACCGCGGGATTAGGGTAAGACAGGGCAGGCCAGAGCTACCCAAGTAGGCTGGCCAGAGGACTGGTGGAAGAGAAGGTAGCTAGGGAACCCTAGGAGGAATGCCATAATCAAGATTTTTGTGTCCTTGGATGGGGAGGGAGCACAGGTTACAGACCTACCTCTCAAAGACTCCTTCTTGCCCTCCCACACCCAGGGCTATAGGCCCAGAGCAGAAATAGGGGGCACATACAAGTGCCACACCAGCTTCCAAATCAGGAGCTGGGATACCGGGGAAGTGAAGAAATGAATGGCCAGGGTCCATAAGAAAGCAACGACAAGGGGAGGCCAGGATGAGACTGGACTGAAGGATCTGGCCCAGTGACCGTTACCTTTTCCTTCTTGGCCAGGAAGAAGAGGACATCATCATAAACCTCTTTTCGATCCCTCTCAGGGACCACAGCCCAGACCTCTAGCTCTCCAAAGGTCTGTTCTGCCCGCCTGTGGAGCACATGCGCTGTGAGTAAGTAGGCAGAGAACAGAGACCCTGGGTCTTTGTGTTCTCAGGGTTCCCAGGCCCCAGCCCAACCCTCTGACCGGTAGCGAGTGGTGGAGGTCATGCGCTCGTGCTGCTCCAGGAAGTGCTGCAGGGTCTGCTTAGCCTCCTTGGCCCTCAGCCGGGCCTCCTCCTTCTCCTCCTTCTCCCTCTGCGCCTTGTAGGCATTGAATGCTTGCTTTTTCTCACTCAGTTTGGGCAAGGCACTGAGGTGGAGATGGTGGGAGTGAGGTGGTGATAGAGAAGGAGTCAGCCTGGACCACTATGCACAGCCCACAGAGTAAGATGGGAAAGGGTCTCCCCAGGGCTGAGTGGGGGTCCAGTCCATGCACAGGCAAAACGTACTAGGGCACACATGTCTGGGATCTGAACACCATTCATGGACAGGTAGTGGTGAGAGCACTGAAGGGAAGAGACGTGGCTCCAAGACCCTGCTAATACTGGATCCCCTTGCTTTGGGGTTCTTAAGTTACCATCAGACCTCTGGCATATCCAGCCCCCTCCTTCCCCAATTAATTCAATTCAATTTGATTCAATTCAACAAGCATTTATTCAATGTCTCATGTCAGATACCTTTCCCTTTCCTTCTCCTGGAGGCCTCCAGCTTTTCTTCCCCTTGTGCCCTACCCCAGTCTATCATTTTCATGACCCTGGCCACCTTAGGGCTAAGTGTTGAATTGGGGTTTCTCAGGGAATCCCTGGGCTAGCTGCTCCCATAAACTGGGCCTGGTTCCCACTGCCCAGGCCTACCTGTAACGGGGGTCAGTGACCACCATCTTCATGGCCTGTTCCCATGAGGCATTGGATGGGACAGCCTGGAATGGAGCAGGTGGGGGTCATGCGGTCTGCCCACCTCCAGCCCCTTCCAGGCCTTCCTTGGGAGCCCCACCCCCAGCACCTTGTCCCTCAGCAGCTCCTTGAATGCCTGTTTTGCCTTCTCCCGGTTGCTCCAACTGAGGCCAGACCTCTCTGGTTCAGGCTTTGATTCCTCCTCCTCCTGCTGTGGTGGCTGATGCTGTCCAGCAGAACTGAGGGGGAGAGAGAACTCAAGCACAGGGCCCCCCAGCTCTCAGAGCTTTCAGTGCCCTGCACTCTCAGCAACGTATCTGCGCCTTGTAGGCATTGAATGCTTGCTTTTTCTCACTCAGTTTGGGCAAGGCACTGAGGTGGAGATGGTGGGAGTGAGGTGGTGATAGAGAAGGAGTCAGCCTGGACCACTATGCACAGCCCACAGAGTAAGATGGGAAAGGGTCTCCCCAGGGCTGAGTGGGGGTCCAGTCCATGCACAGGCAAAACATACTAGGGCACACATGTCTGGGATCTGAACACCATTTGCTCCCTGGGCAGCCCTTTCCTGCCCTTCAGAGGTCATCCCCAGATCTTCACACCCCTCCTGAGAGGCCTGGCAGAGGACAAGGGTTGACCCAGGCTGGGAACCTGAGTCCAGCATCTGGAATGCCATGGGGGGCAGCCTCACCTGCTGGGGCCCTCCTCTAGCTGCTGCAGGAACCCCTGCTCCAGGGGCTGAGGAGCCTCTGACACATCACAGTCTTCACTCCCGCCTGGATCAGGTTCTAAGAGGCCTGTGGGCACTGGTGTGGGGCCAGGGGGTACAGGTGGGGGGTCAGGCTGTGGCTGAGGAGGCTGTGGCTGTAGTGTCTGTGGTTGCTGCTGCTGCTGCTTCCTGCAGGTGAACCAGAAGGGCAGTGTCCAGGAGTAGAGCTAGGATAGGGACAATCAGGAGCTGGATGGTCTCTACCTTGGGAAGGACTGGGACCAGAGCGGGCGATTCTACAAGAAGACTGAGAGCGGGCCCTTCCTCCTACAGAGTGAGAATAATGCAAAATCCACTCCCACACCCCAGTGCCCCAAGTATAAATGCATAGGTGGGCAAGGTAGGTAAGTCACTCACCCTGCAGCCTCTTGTTTGACTAGAGCTGCAATGGGAAAAGACAACACAGTCAGTCACAGAGTAACAAGGAACCCCCAGAAGCCCTGATCAGGCCTAGCCCCTCCTCTACCTAGGACCCCTCACCCTCCAGGTCATCCAGATCCTTGGGTCGGGTCCAGCGGGATTCCTTACTCTGGTTGTTATAGTAGTAAGGTTTGCCTGTGTCCGACTTGTACTCTTTCCAGGGACACTGGGACAGCAGCAGCTGCAAGAGGACGGGTCAGGGGACATCAGTGGGCTAGGCATGCTCTCCAGCCACAGTCAGGGGAGCTAAGGGGACCCAGTGAGGAGAGTACATAGGAGTCTTTAGCTGCCACCTAGCCTAGCTCAAACAGGGGAAGGTGGACTTCCTAAGATTCTAGGGAGACATTTTCAGGGAGGATGGAGGGTGGTGAGGGATCCTGGGATCAGAGGAACCATAAAGAGTATGGCTAGAGACTCAGGGGAGGCCAAGGACTTGAAAGGGTCAGGGCAGCTGAAAGGAAGGGCCAGAATGCCCCGCTCAGGACCTCCGCCTTGGACTTGAGCACGCTGGGCTTCTCCCACACGGACTGCTTGTCGTCAGCATTGTAGTAGTAGATGCGCCCATCAGGGGCCACGTGCTCACTCCATAGGGCCCTCTGGGGGGGGGGGCACAGAATGGTGGTCAAGGTCCTTTTCCCAAAGCCTCTCCTCACCCCAAAGATTTAACCATCAGCCCCCCACTCTTAGCCTTTCTACCTAGAGACTCCTGAGCCAGAAGAACTCACCAGAGGGCCAGTCCCAGCCACAGCAGCTAAAAAAGAAGCCAAAGGAAACATATTAAGTCCTTGCTCCAAACCTCCATCTTATCCCCACCTATTCCTCCCTTATTCCATCCCCAGTAAATATCCCTCTGGTCCCATCAACATCCCAGGCTCCCTGGCATCCCAACAGGCATGATCCAGGGTGGGCTCCAGTCCATGGTCCCCTCTCCCCTATGCCCCCCAACCTCCGAGCCTGGGGGGAGCAGGCCCCCAGAAGACTCACAGCTGGCGGTGTCCGCACCCGGAGCCGTCTGCCGAAGAAAGAGGAGGGGGAAGGGTTGGGGCCAAGCCCAGTGGCCCCCAGGACCCAGGCCATGGGGGATGGAGAAGCAGGCCAGGCCAGAATCCATGTGTCCTGTTCCCAGGGATCTCTGTTCCCTAACAGGCTTCCCCCACCCTCCAGGGCTATAGCTCTAGGATCCCAGGGGGGAATCGCACAGCAGCTCCATTCTTCGTTCTCCTCAAGTATTTTGTTGAATGAACTCCTGAAGCCCATCTCTCCACAGTAGATGCCAAATTCTGCATCCTACCCAGATTCTACTACACTAAGCGATAGCACAAGAAGGTACAACAAGATCCCCAGATGCTGTTGCCTCCTCCAGAGGCAAACAGGATGTGAAGAAGCAACTGTATTAGTGTGTCCACAGTCCAAGGCACTGTGAGGGTGAATAGTGTTTGGCATGAGTGTATTCTTTAAGGGAGCTGGGCACGGCTGGGGAGTAGCAAGAGAGAATGTATGTGCCTTTGGGAATGAGTGGGAAACTAGGAAAGCGGAGTACATGGCTGGTGAGGAGGATTTGAGTGCGGGGAGTGCTGCAGGAGCAAGGATGGATGCGATGAGAAGAGGGAAAGAATGGAGGTATCCCTGTACTCCGAGTTAGACCCACAGGACTGCAGGCCAGGACCTGCTTCCTGCCTACCCTCAGTGCTTACCGCTGCGGTGACAGGCACTGCTGGCATCAGCATTCCTGGCATCATTGGCGGTACCATTCCTGGTATCTATGGATACAAAAACGACAAAAACCAGCCACCAAGGTGAGGACAGGCACAGGCTGGGCAGTGTATCCTGAAGGGTCGTGAGAGATCCCACTGGGGCCACGACCTTCACTTTGGCACCTCGTCAGGCAATCCTCAGGTTCTGGCCTCCACCCTTGCCTGCAAGTTGTCCCAGTCATTCAGCAGACAAATCCTCATAGGCCTGGCCTAAAGCTCACTTCCCTCCCCAGTTTCTGAAGCCCAAATGCCCATTCTCATCTCCACCCCCAGCTAAACTGATAGGGTTTACTGAGGCCACAGGGGAAGAGAGACAATTACCTGTGTGAGTGGAGGTGGCGCCCCCATTGGTGGAAGCATAGGGGGCAGGATGCCAGGCGGCATGGGGGGGATGGCTGGTGGTCTCTGACTCATAGGGGGTAGCCCCATCGGAGGAAAGGGTGGGGGGATCCCTGGAGGGGGCATCTGGAAATGAGGAAAGGAAGAGACATTGAGCAGAGAAGACACTGTCATATCAGAGGCAGAGAAGACCTATCAGGAAACACCCACCACCTCCCACCCCAACCTTCTACCCGGCTCTGAGGCAATTCCAAGTTTTTAGTCTGAGAAGCACAAGGCATGAAACTGCCTCCCTCCTCACCACTGAGAAAGACTGATAACTGAGGGTGTTCTCTCTGGGCCTAACAGGCAAGCACACAGCTTCTTAAGAAGGGAAGGGGGAGGGAAAAGGAAAGTGTAACAGCACTAGACTGTGCCTAGAAGGCTCCACGTATTTAATTCTCCCCCGAAGAGGGCAGAAGGCAGGTACCCAAGTTCCCCAGTCCCCTGCCTCCCATGCCCTTTTCTTCAACTCATGACCACCAGTGCTATTCCAGCCTGAATTCCGTGGCATATTTAAAGAGTATAGGTAAGGAGTAGTGAAAGAGAAAGACAGTCCCACTCTGCCCTCACACTAATGGGATCTTTTCCCTTCCACTGCTCCTACCTCCAGCCCCAGTGTGTCCCAAGGACAAAAAGACAAAGAGGGAATTGTCAATTTTATGGACTGAGAGCTAAACAGCAGCTCTCCCCACCCCAATGCCCAAGCAAAACCATCCCTCTTCCAAGGGCAGCAAAAAGGGGCATCATCACAGGAGAATTGTGCTGGCGATGCAGCAGTGGGTAGGGGCTGGGGTGCAGGCTGGAAAAGCCAAGCCCATGGAAAGACATAAAACTTACGAAGGGTGGTGGCATCATGGGGGGCCCCGGTGGGAAGGGGGCAGGCGCTGCTGGGGGCCGGGGACCAGAATCGGGAACCGACTGTTGAGGGAGAGAAAAGTCATAGGACCCAGGATGGGCACAGAGATGGGCTTTTGCAGAAGGGAAGCAGAAGAGGTAAGGATGAAAAAGGAGCACAAAGTTCAGAGGCAGGGTCTCCAAGCCCAATTTCTTGCCCGTCCTTTGCTTTCTGTGTCAGCCCAGAGCCAGCTGGCTGAGTCCCTTCCATGTCATCTTTATTTTGGAAGTTTCCATTTTGCCAAAGCCACAGATAAGATGGAGGAGGCTCTACTACAGGCACAGACTGGCTCTTCCCAAGGCGTTTAATCTGTTCTCTCAACTGTGCGCAAGGCTCTCTCAGACCAGTTAAATAGAGGTCTCTTTTACTCCCAAAGCGTCAGGGAGTGGCCTCTTTTCCAATTCTCCTACCTCAATTAACCCAGTTACAGAGATTCCATCCAAAGCTCCCAAAACACAAATAGTCACTAGTCCTTTAAAGTGCTATTCTCCCTAACTCTCCTCTTCACTACTAGCTTCCTCTCCTAATTGCCCTCAACCTTGGCTACTCACTTTGACATCTTCTACTTCTAATCGCCAACTTCATCTCTTTAGCTCTACCCCCACACCCATTTTGGTGGCCATCCCCTCCTCTACAAATCCTGAACTCTTCCCCTGCAGATGCAGGCTTTGGACAGCCTAGGTCTCCCCATCCTACACCTAATGGCTGATCACATCCCGGCCTTTAGTTCTCAGCTTAAATATCACTTATTCTAAGAAGCCTTCCTGACTCTATTTAAAGCAGCTCCTTCCAATTTATTCTATCTGATCCCCTTTTTAGTTTCTTCATGTATACAATTTTGTAATTATTAATATTATGGTTGCCTGGATATGTGGCCCCCCCACTAGATCATAATAACGTTCCTATGAGGACTGGAATTATAACAGACTTGTTGAAAGCTGGATTCCTGGTACCTGCCACAGTGTCTGGCACATAATAGGTACTCAATAAATATTGAATGAAGAACAAATGAAGGAACAAATCCTATCTATAGAGAACCTTCCAACTCTAAAAAGTAATCCTATAGGCATAGTTCCACATGGCCAAAATATGTTGTGCAGGTTTTCATTTCAGTGTTATTTATAAAAACAGAAGACTGGAATCAGCCTAAATATCCAATAGTGAGGAACTATGAAATTACACACATGCACACACACACACGCGACAAAAGATGACACACAAGAAGTTGGTGGAAAGGGGACAGAGGTGGAGGGGAGACTTCACTGTATTCCCTTTTGTACCTTGTGAATATGCAACCACATGACTACATTGCCTGCTCAAAAAAATAAATGAACCAAGTCTTGGAGATACAGCTAAATGGTCCTGCACTTCTTCCTCTTTGCCTGAAAGTTGGGGAGCGGGTAGTAGGGGGGTAGTTCTAAGGAAAGGTGGTAGTTGGCTGAAGAGAAGCCACCTCACTACTGCCCAATCTCCCCTGGGTTGAGTAGGCTCAGCATTTAAAAATGCTTTCTTAGCTCTACCTTTAAAACATCTGTCCTTCACCTTGTCCTAAGAAGAGAAGGGTATGAGCTAAACTACTCCAACCTGACTCACCTTCTCTCAATGTTCAATGACTTTAGCTCTGTATTCAGACTTGCTCCTGCCCCCTGAAGATCTCTTGAATTTACTTCTCTCCATTTCCTCTTCTACCACCACAACTGCTCTTGTCCAAGCCATTGTTTTTTCATCCGACCTACTGCAGTGGCCTCCCAACTGTTCTCACATCCACCCGAATCCACAGCTGTAACAAGTGCACCTCATTACTCCTTTCACTTAAAACTCTTCAACGGCTTCCCACTGGCTTCCCACTGCTCGTAGCATAAACACCAAAACCCCTGCCCAGGGCCTGTGAGGCTAAGGGAGGGAGGTCTGCTCCCCAACTACCTTGCCAGCCTCCCCCAGCTGAGCTCCAGGGTCTATGCTCCAGCCACTCACTAGCTCTCGGATCTCCCACCTCAGATATTCACTTGTGCCTGGTTCAACAGTGGTGGCCCTGCCAATCCCACACACCTTGCCTACGTACACTTCACATCTACCAAACATCACATACTCAGGAAAACTTGTCCCAGCCCACTGGGCTAGTCAGAGCCCTCTTTTATATGTTCATACATCACCATGTACCCTCCTCTTCAGCAATTATCCACTAGAATTTTGTAGGTATGTGTTCAATTCTGATTGTACTATTTACTTTGTGGCACTAATTTTAAAAAATGCTACCAAGTAGATTATGATACTCATGACTTTTAAGATGCATCCTGAGTTCAGAAATGTTAAAATGTGAGTGTTAGAATTAATGAAATATAATATCTTCAAGCCCCCACTAGACTGAAAACTCTAAGGTCAGGGACTTTATCTGGTTTTGCTCACCTCATATCCAATTCCCATTGTATTTTCCTCATCACCCCCTATCAGCACAAAGTAGGTGCTAATAAGTATTTGTTGACTCAATGACTTAATGGTTTTGGCAAGTCCCACAAAACAGCAGGTGGCCACTGGTAAGGCCTAGTAGTAATTCAGGGAACACAAACTGTCATACTTTGAGAGGACCCTGGCAACCACCCAAGGTTGTCCCCTCTTTTCAGGGAATAATCTGTCCAAGGTCCCATAGCTGGTTAGGGACAGAGCCAGGACTGGATCCAATCTGCCTTCAAGCCCTCCTCCCTTACATTAGTTCCTACCATAGGAAAGTCTTATTTTTAATTTAACATATCCCCAGCAACCTAAGTAAGTGGTTAAATCATCAAGGATCCCACATTTTCTTGATTGAGAACTAATGGTGGTTCCCTATTGCCTATCCTACAAAATCTCTCATTTAACATTCAAAGTCTTTTAACAAAGGCCATCCCACACTCTTCTTGGCTCATCCTGACTCAATGGCTTTCCTCCTCCTCTTTGCACAGGAATTATTACCCTCCTGTGCGTTTTATTCTACTTTGTCTCTTGCTTTGTTCAAGATGGTCCAATATTCACCTCCTCCAGGTTATCTTTAAGACTATCCCACACACATACACACACTCCTACCTACTGTGTCCCCTCAGGATAAATGCTGCACTACTTTGCAGAGCTACTCTGTGATGTTTGCTGGGTGTTTCTTTCACGTGGGACTGCCTGTCTCCTCAATCAGGTGGGGATTTCCCTACCTCCAGGGATTGAGTTTTCCCCTTTTAAGCCTCCCCCAAATGTCTAGTCAGGGCCCTGCGCACGAAGTGCTATGATAAAATGCAGTCTCACTCCTAACTTTATTAGATTTTTGCATACTAGAACATCCTAAAATGGTACATGCACATGTATCCATGTACATTTATATAAATTCTCTGAGTATAGGCTAATTGTGACAGAGGTAGCTTGGCAGAGGCCTGTGTGGTTTAGGGAAAGGAAACTGGAATCAAATACTGGCATGGGAAAACTTAAATAATAATAAAAAAGCTAATTGTATATGACCATCTTCAACTTGGGATGAAGACCTCTGGCCAGGATTCAGATACTGGCCTGTTTTAGACAGTTCCCCACAAAGATGAGCAATGGAATCAATGTAAATTACTATGGAACTTCCAAAGCCCTTCTTTCTCTGAGCTTCCCCTGTGCTGTGTGTGTTCTTTCTTTCCTGCAACACCCGTCCCTCCCCCACCTGGAGCAATGCCATACAACTTTGGGTCTTATTTCACTCTGAGTTAGAATCTGAAGAAGTAACCAGTGAGAGAGGAGGATACAGGAATGGGGGCTGAAAGAGAAGCAGATTCTGTGTTTTCCATAGAACAAAAAGACATTTGTGGGCCAAGGACAGAGGAATAGATGCTTGATCAGTGATCATGGGTTCACCTGGGCCAGTGGAAGGACCACCCCCAACACCAAAGATGAAATCAATTCTTCTCAGTCTTCACATCTAAGGGGTATCTCAGAACTGAGCTTTCAGAACAAGAACAAAAGGAGAAAAGGACAAGAATGGAGAGACAGAAGGAAAAGAATGGAAAGAGGGAATGACAACAGCTAACAGCTAATATTTACTTAGTGCTTATTATCAGCCAGACACCATGCCAAACACTCATTTAAACCTGGCAACCATCCTGGAGGTTCTTAATCCCATTTTATAGATAAAAAACCTGAGGTTCCAAGAGATTTAAGTAATCTAAGGTTCCAAGAGATTAAATGGGAGAAGTAGGTTTGGAATCTTAAGCAGTCCGACTCTAAAAGCTGTGTTTTCAATACTCCACGAAGCTGCCTCCCATCATGGCTAATGGTGCCATAGATGATATTTCTTACACTCAGATTCATTCCTGTTTTCTATTTACCCCAATCCTCACACAGTCCTGAAATCCTCAGAGCCAGGTGATCCCAGGGTTTGCCTGGTCTGACTCATTCCCACTCTCTGAAAGGATCTGTACTGGAAAATGAAGGCTGGGAGGCACATCTCTCAGAAAGGGTAATCATCATCAAAAAGAAAAGGTTGAGAGACCAGCTCTTTGCCCAGTATCTACTTGCTATCCTTCTTCAGTTACCCCAAACAGCCCCTCCCTCCGTCTCCAACACCATCCTAGACCCCTCTCTCCTTTAGTGGCCCTGTTCATCCTACTGCTCCCCAAAGATACCAGGGGCCTTACTAGGAAATATCTTCCAATTGCTTCTCTCTGATCCTGCCATCTCTTCATCACTCTCCCTCTGAAGAACAGAATTTTACTTCTGGTCTCCATATTTCTGGGGTTAGGTCTCCTCCTCCTCCTCCTCTGCTTCCAGAGTTTCTCCAGCCCTCCACTGGGATGCCAGAGGCACAGGCCAGCCTGCCCCAGCCTTACAGGCTTTATGTCTACCATCCCCCCACATCCCTGAGGATTTTCTCCAGCCCTAGCTGAAGGCTCCATCTTCAGCCTTCTTGCCTTCGCTTCCCGGTGTCCTAGAACCCATTCTCCTGAACTTTCTCCTCAAAAACCGCCCCATTTTGGAGCTGGAAGAGATCTGGGATGTCATTTTGAAGCATTTTCCTTTTTTTTTTTTTTTTAAATTGATAGGAAATCTGTGGCCCAAAGAAAGGTAGTGACTTGCCCAAGGTCACACAGAGTCCGCACAATTTGTTGATGACAGAGCCAGGGGCTGGGGAGCCTCTCTTTCCTCAGAAGCCCACTCTTCACCTCTGGAAACAGAGTCTGGCAAATGCAGGGAAACGGAGCAGGGTCTCCAAGTGGTCTTATGGAGAACCCAGGGTTTCCAAAGGGTACAAGCACTAAATCTGGGGAGGGGCACGCCATATGCCACATATCCCAGGAGAGAAAACTGAGGTCCCACCTTTCCTCTTGTCCTGTGGTTCCCTCATCTCCCGCTCTCTCTCTTCTTTCCCAACCTATCTACACCAACCCATCCCTCACATCTTCCCTTCCTCCTCGTCACCCAGTCCCGCAACTCTCATCCTCCTCTCAACCCCTGCCGCACCCCCCAGCCATGCTCCATCATGGCCTCCCCCGCCCCTTCTCCCCCAAATCCCCACCCCCATCCCCCCTCTCCTGGGCTCCTCTCCCTCACCCTTCGTTCCCCTTGCCCTCCTACGGGGTCCTGGTACCCCCAGTGGCCTCCCCTCCCCTCTGCCCCCAGCCCGGGCCGCAGGGGACTCTGTGGGACCGCCCCGGGCCCCTCCACCCCCGCGCGGGGACGTTACCATGCCAGAGCCTCGGAGCAGCTGGGCCAGCTCAGCCCACCCGCCAGTAAAAGCCGTTCTGATTGGCCAGGCCGCAGCCGGGAGGGCGGAGCCAGTGGGGGGTCGCACCCCTTCGTGGCCGGGGCTCCGGTTGCTCCCGCCGACAAACGGGGCTCCAACCGGCCCGGTGTACCCGGGCCTGGCCCCGCCCCCCGGCGCGGAGAACCAGGCCCCGCCCCGCGCCGCCGTCCCGGGGTCCGCCCCCCGAGGGGCGGGGCGCGCCTGCTCCCGGGCTTGACTGACGGCCCCAGAGGCCAACGCAGGGCTGAGCAAAGTGGCGCCGAGCGCGAGTGCCGGGCCACTGAGCGCCTCTGCGACTCTCCTGCCTTGGCGTTGCCGGTCGCGTTCCCGGCCTTCGCTCCGGGGACTGGGGGCTGGGGCGAAGCATTCATTTTGTATATAGGATACCCTTGCACATCGCAAAGCATTTTTCAATTTGTTGTAATTATTTTTAGCACTTTTACTTTAATTAACTCATGAATTATGTATTGAACACCTGTTAGGCACCAGGAGCTGTTCCAGGCACTGAGCATACAGCAGTTTGAAAAAGAACAGACAAATCCCCAAAATGCCTGCCCTCAAGGGTGTACACGTGTATTTTAGGTAGGTAAGAAAACTGTAACCTAAAGCTACCTGATGAACACGTTGAGGTCTCAAGGCTTGCGAGTACACAAGGATTGAATCCCTTCCCGCCAAAGCCTGGGTAAAAAATACTTCCCGTTTGCTTTATTCATCTATGCTTACCTGAGTTAGTACTCCGTGCTCAGCACTGTGCTAGGTTCCTGAGATCCAAAGAAGTGTGAGCCCAGTCCCTGACTGGAAGGAGCTTTGAGTCTACCAGGAGAGAGGTAGAAAAACAATTAACAGTGAAGTGGAAGTTGATGTCCTCAATTAAAGGTGACAGACAAATGGGATGAAAAGGAAGTGGGATTTATTCTGGAAGGCTGCTGCAGAAAGAAACTTCACAGTGGCTTTAATCCAGCAATTCCCAGGTGGCTTCAGATGAGGGTCTCTGTCCTGTGGTTTTCAAACTCTATTATTGAGAACTATAGGTATAGAAGTTCAGTAGTTCCATAAGTATGTATCAAGTTTTGTTTTTTTGGTTTTTTGGTGTTTTTTTTTTTGAGACAAGAATCTCGCTTTGTTGCCCAGGCTAGAGTGAGTGCCCTGGCAACAGCCTAGCTCACAGCAACCTCAAACTCCTGAGCTCAAGCCATCCTACTGCCTCAGCCTCCTGAGTAGCTGGGACTACAGGCATGCGCCACCATGCTCGGCTAATTTTTTCTATATATGTTTTTAGTTGTCAGGCTAATTTCTTTCTATTTTTAGTAGAGACAGGGTCTCACTCTTGCTCAGGCTGGTCTTGAACTCTTGACCTTGAGCAATGATCCTCCTGCCTCAGCCTCCCAGAGTGCTAGGATTATAGGCGTGAGCCACCACACCCGGCTTAATCACATTTTATTTTTAAAATTTTTTTAAATTTTAAATTTCTTAGGACAGATAGACACATATTTTAAAGAATCAAATAACTGCATAAGATTTGTTAAGACAAACAACAGAGTTCTGCCCGCATCATCTTTCCCTCTCTGGAGGCAACCATTTTCAGCTCTTTCAGCTGTTTCTTTTGGCATTTACCTTCATCCCTCTGGCCCTCCTCCGCTGCATCCCTCCCCACAGGGTGAGAGTAAAGGGGCTATGCCATACAAAGCCCACTTACCTACTTATAGACTATATTCTTATCAGGTCTGGCCTCTTGGTGGACTGTTGTCCTGGTTCTTTGGCTCCTTGCTTGAAAAAGAATTCACAAGCAGGGCCAGTGTGACAGGGTGACCACAGACAAGAAGCAATTCCACACAAATGGCTTTTATTGCAAAGAAAGGAGCTATATGATGTGAGAGTACGTTCCAGAGAGGAACAGGTCAGTCTCCACAAGTGGAGAAAGGTGTTGAGGACTCCCAGGTGGTTTCATTTTATTGGCCTGGTCCCAGCAAGGGCTTATGGGAGGTATGAGTTGTTACCAGATGATTGATATACATGATTGACAGATGTTCTTATAGCAAACTTGCAGCTCCACAGGTGTATGCCTCAAAACCTCAAGTTCCTGCTCTTTGTGGTTGTTAGCTATGTTTTCATATAGTCCCTTCCCTGGCTTTTCCGCCTCTAGGAACCTCTCTCCTGTCTTGTATCTGCCACCTACAGATTTGGTCCCTGCCTAACATTCAGAATACCCGGGTCACTGGAATTGCTTGCTCAGCTTGTTTCCTGGATTTGCACCAGCTTGTTCCTTTTATCTCTCCTCCCCAGGCAGAACTTGCTGATGGTGTGGGCATCCCCAGGCCTGAGAGGGGGCTAGGTAGCCAGGGGCAGCTGTTTGCAGAGAGAGGTGTGAGCATAAGTTGCATTGTCCACAGGACCCTGTGTGAGGCTCTGTCATAGCCAAGGGCAGGAGGGAAGGGGGTCAGGCCAGAACAAAGGGATAAAAGGCTATCATTTTTTAGTGTAGAACTCTGGAGAGTCCAAAAGTTCT